TTCTGCTAAATATTAAGTGATCTAGTATCTCAGGTGTCATTTTTTAATTAGGAAAAGGGTGAAATAATACTCTTTTCTTTTTTAAGGTGGTATACCTTCAGATCCTGCAAATGTTGGCGATGAAGTTGATAATGATGATGATGGCAACTACGCTTCCAGTGGTGTTGATAGTCAAGAGAAAAGAGATAGAAAACTGAAACAGAATACTGCAAAGCTGAGTAAACAAAAGATGGCTGAAATTCAACGTATGATTGAAGCTGATAGACGTAAATTAGAAGAGCAAAAAGATATGGCAGTAGAAGAACGAAATCGTATTCAGGTAAGAGATAATAGTAAGAGAGATGACTTTTATGATGGTCAGTTTGTTTTCTCTTCCATGTACCGATTGACTGACCCTTCTGAAGATTTGAAGTTGTGCAATATTTCCAAAATGTCTAATGTGAATCTATGAATAGCAGAACATGCCGTCGCTGAGACACTTCTGTACTTCACCATAGTCCCTTACTTCCCTCGGTTGAATTGTTCTACCCGCGTGACGACATTCGCCTTTTATCTTACACACGAGATTTTATTGCGAATAGTTTCTAATCACTAAATCTAAATATACCAACGTCTTAATTGGATATCTGAAAGTTTTGAAACCATGAGCATAACTGAATTAAAAATTTACCCAAAATATGTAATCAGAAATTAAAGAATTATAGAATATATATTGAAACCCAACTCAATAACCACTCAAGTCACGTTTCAGTGACAAATTGTTGTAACAGCTCAAAATAGAACTAATTGGCTGAAGATTCTTCTGAATTACCAACTCATCATAAGTGAATTCAAAAACACAATGGTTAAAACGTAGCAAATCATAATGTATCATCGTGAAAAAAGGACTGAACATTTACAATACCACACACTGCTTAGTGTACATGCAAAAATTCCCTTTCAATTCCTAGAAAGGTTTCAACGAAATTAGTACTTTTTAGTGTTGGTTTGAAGGAATTTGATTGGTTTCAAATTAGTTTGATAACTGTCTTCAGTTAGAGAAGCACTGAAAACTATGGAATACTAGAGAGTTATTTGGTTTTAACTCAGGTCTTTTCGCCAATAAGCATCTATGACTCAACCATGTATCCAACCTAGTACTTTCAGGTTATGAGGCGAGCGCAGTCACCATTCAGCCACTAGAATGGATTCCAACGACCCATGGATTCTAATTTCTGTCAATTCTCGATATATGTCACCGGCAGTTGAAGGGTACAGTCGTAAAGTCACAAAGTAGGATGAAACATTGTCCAGCACCCCTTGGTTTTCAGTGATTTTCGAGATCTAAAGTGAAAATAATTTTGTCCATCATAACTGCCGAAGTTACCTGGGCTGTCAATTTAAAACACAACTTTTGTTACAGCTATACAGCTTTTCTCTTTTTACTAATAATGAGTTCACTGTAAACTAGTTTCCGATAATCATTGGTTCGGTATATCTGGAACATCTGTTTCTCACAATAAATATAAGTCGCTTTTGAATACATATAATCAAATCTTTATATCTAATGGTGCTTCAAGCTAGACGCTTAAGAAATAAATGAATTCGAAAAATTCATAAGTCTGTATTTTACTAACTGATTGATATAAGTAGCTGTATAGCACTCATACCAACCATTAGTACTTGCTAGCCAGATGGAGGTGATCTTAACAAATGATTCTTCATCTAGCGTCATTTGGTTGATAGTGGTTAACAGTGAAATCCTAATAAGGATTCGTCAATCGGATGTATCTTTATCTCATTGTGTGTCAGTGTAACCGAAGGAGAGTTAAACCCAGCACTTATTATTTACATCGAACGAGTACTAAATCGGATGAAATGCTGATCCTGGATTCTACTAATCGCCATTATCAGCTAAATAACACTTTCTTTGATTGAAGAGTATAAGGTGTAACTCAGAGGCATAAAAATAGCGTTTGGTAAACTTGGACAGACGAATAATTATAATTGTCATGCACTACTTGACCAATTTATATATGATTGGTCATTAGTATGTACTTTTGTTTTATATAGCTGCGTTATTGTCATGCAAATAAAGTATAATTATATTTCAGTGGCTTACACGGAATAATAAGTTTTGTTATTGGTAATATTTCGAGCAAAATTACTGCCCGTGTTCACACCACTGTTGGAATTTTTTGTTCGTAATTTTGCTTGAAATATTACCAATAACAAAACTTATCATTGTGTGTAAACCATTAAAATATAATTATACTTTATTTGATCTATTCCACAATGCTCAAGCTTCTTCTTACTGATATTAATTGGGTAGACGACTTTTAATAAATTCAGCAATAGTGTCAACTTTGAATGTCTAACTCATAAAGAGTGTGTTCCTTGGCATTATGATTTGTCTAGGAGATGCTTCTATCGATAAGCCTTTTAGGATATCCATTATTCACTATTGAGTTCCACATTTCACTTCTTATATGTAATGCTATAGGGAAGAGTAAGTGACACATTAAAAAGATCAATATGCCGAAAGCAAGCCTTTACAGGGCGGTACACTAGATTCACCAGTTGGGTACCTCAAAGAAGAGAAGGACCTTTTATCCACTCACTTTGTTCCATAATCTTGAAAATTTTTTATATAGATACGGTTGATAAAGAACTGGAGAACTATCGTATAACACTTAAATAATGAATATCCTAATGAATAAGGAGAAAACTTGGGCACCGTGGTAGAGTATAATTCCATTATGGATATACTAGAAATCTTACTGAAAGGAATCTGAAGGCAGAAACCTCTCCTAGCTACATCAAAGTACCAAGGAACACACTCTTTATGAGTTTGACATTCAAATATGACACTATTGCTGAATTTACTAAAATCCGTCTATTAAATTGCATCCAACTCTGTTTTTATATCGCTGACTAGTAATTAATTAGTAGTCTCCAACCGAAGTATGATTCGACTATGTGTGAAGGATAAACCATCTCTTCTGTCTATCTCTAAGTGCACCTCCTCATTTACATGTTCCTGTGGAGCTGATTGCATTGGACGCTGTAGGGGCGCTCTCCTATGTAACACTTTGCCAAACTCAAGGCATCAGCGATGCGTCTTTACTAGGTAGTTGATACATCAACAAAGACCGGTCAGTTCGGTTTAACATAAATTGATCGAATGGGATATCAAAAATGATAATGATTTTAACAAATTAGAGATTTTTTTTACCTAGGTTTTTGGGATCTTCATTTCTTTTTCCACCATGTTTTTCTTATGCATCTATTTTTGTTTCTTTTCTGTTCAATACAACATAAGCAACATCTTGAAGAGAAAGAAAATGAATTGAAACAAACTAAAGAAACTCGTAACAATCTTATGAAACGAATGGAAGCTTTGCAAAGTCGCATAATTGTTGGCGGAGAAAATCTATTGGAGAAAGCTGAAGCACAAGAAAAACTGCTAGAGCAATCAGCAGCTGAATTACGTAAACAACAATTACGCGCTGAACAGCTGAATCAGAAATTAAAAGAAAAGGAAGAGGAACGTATAAATATTGAAGAAAAGTACAATAATTTACAGGTGAATTATATACAATAACTTAGCTTTTAAATTACATAAATACACTTATAAGAATATGACACAGTCAGATCAGCAAAGTGTAGATGACAGAATGATTATTTTGTCCGCCCTCTCAACTGGACTGAATTTTTGGCTTGAGACTGCACACAGTTCTGAAGCACATCAAGTCGCCATTCTTCACAAAGCACACATAGGAACAGAGAAAAGCAAAGAAATGCAACCAAACATAAATAAACGGAAATATGTGGGGAAGAATCACAGGTACATGGAAAATAATGAGGATTTGAGGATGTGTGAATACCTTTGTGCCAGTAACAACGATTTTGACTTGTGTCACCAACAGTCTCCACTCATCAGTTTGTAGCACCTTGAGGACCCCAAACAAACAGTCTTAGGTTCCCTACATGACCCAAATTAACGGTCAAAATCTTCATAAAATAATTCCATGTTTTGATTTGACCACCCGCAACTCTTTCTCAGTGTAATTCCAAATCAGCTAACATTCTTCGACAAGAGAAGTGGTGGCCTGACCTGCTTAACATATCTGCTAACCCCCTCAGTCAACACAACTTCACAAGTACTTAGACTGATTAGGAAAATTGGGTTATAAGAAACCTGTGATTAGTGAAATGAATTTTGACGAGGACGATAGTTTTACTACTTCCCAGCATAGATGAATGCCTGTCTCCTAGGCGTAATCCAATAATTGTGGAAGCCAAAATACACTCTGGAAAGATACAACATGTCAAATTGACGATAATACTTCCAATAAGGGTGAGAAAATGAAAGTATAACATATTCGAAAGCTTATTGTCCATCTAAAAACAAAACAGTTTTATTCAATACATTCAATAATAATGATAATTATTATTATAGGAGATCGGTGAACATGTAATACCTGTCTGAAGCATTCGAGCTCATATTGTTTCCATATAAGGTTAGCGTATTCACTGACTGATTATCATGTATGCTGTTCAAAAAAGATGCTGTATTCCAGGAGTCACATAGATTTCACGTCCTGCCAGAATGTGAAATACATATTTATTTTATTAGCTACATAAATTTAAAAAGCCTTCACAGTCGAAGTAGACTTGAGAATCTTTAGTCCATTTCTGTTGTTGAAAAACCAGTTGTCGAAGGCACAACAGTTTACAGTCTATCTTATCCCGTAAATCTTCTAAACTAGAAAATCATATTTATGTAATGAGTGTTGACTAAAGGTGAGATGAGGATCTGAATAGTTTCAGGATTCAAATCACTGACCTCTGAATTATTATTCTGGCGCTTCGTCGGTTGACTTATAGTACCTAACTGTTAATCTTGCCATCATTACAATTCAGTCATCATAGGTAGCTGAACAGCTAGTATGATGATAAATGGACAGTCATGCATCATTCATTCACAAGATATCTGGTGGTTGCAGTGAACCGACTACCGTCTGGGTCTGTTGTGTGTAAGTATTGTATTTTGCAAAACGTTGAGTTGAAATAAGGGCGCCCAGATAGACACAGACACGCTGATCATTGCTTGTCTACACCAATAAACTGCACAACACCTAACCGATCTCCCAGGCCACCAATTAAGCCACAGCTTGCAAAAGACAAGATGGAAAGTAACAGTGTATTCACAGAAAGAGATAATCATGTATACATATATATATATATATATATACCTAGAGGAAAGAAATTAAGGGGAAAGATTAGGTAATACAATCAAAGCAAGAGTTAAAAAATCGAGTTACCAGAGTAAGGAAAAACTAATAACTGCATTTTTACTAACACACAGAAATCAGATTTTAGACGTTTGATAGCTACTGCTTCGAGGAACTTGAGAAAAATGAATTATATTGTCTATTGATAACCATTAAGGATCTCAGAATGTCCACCATATGACTCGTATCAAGGAGATACCTGAAGACTGCATGACTGGAACATTTCGAGACGTAGAATTTCTGGTACATGTTCAAACAGTCTAAGCTATGTCCTTATAATCAGCTTGTCCACTTCTTGTCTTTATTATGCAGCCTTCTATTCAAAGTATTCAAGCATTCTATTTGTTTGAACTTGAACCCGTTGTGTATGAATTACATAAGTGTAACTTCTGAGCACTTCTTTTGAGCACCACTTTTTGAATCTCTCCTGTTAACTTACACTATGTTACCTTTCGAATTATGTTAAAAAATGCTCTGTGTACATGCGCTTAATAAATATTTTGTAGGTTGTATTTAGCTGAAGGGAAATTGACGAATTAAACAGTGACATCATCTTATTCTGTACAAACCGTTGTCATTTTGCTTTATTCATGATCGCAAATTCTGTGCAATCAGAATATTTTGTGTTTCTAAGGGAAACAACTATGGTGAGAATCTACTTCCATTTGTATAGTTAGCTTATAACGAATATGATTTGATTATAGATACTTTTGATTTCTCCCTCTATTTATTATTTTTATAAAAGTCTCCATATTTATTTATTTCTTCAGGAAGAAGCTGCTGGAAAGCGTAGAAAACTGCGTAAACTAAGCACAATGTATCTGCAAGCAAAATCTGAACTGGAAGATCTAAAGAATGAACATACTCGTGAAATGGAAGGTTTACTGGATAATATACGCCAACTTAGTAGAGAATTAGCACACCACACATTGATTATTGACAGATTTATTCCACAACCATATCAAGTAATTTGCAAGCGGTTATTAGAGATTAGATTTGTGTTTTGGTGCATATTTGTAGACGCTTTCAATGCTCTCATATTAGTATCATTTTTGTCAAGAGAGTTATGCACTTTTCCAAACATCAAGTCTACATTTAAAGACTGGAATTTATTTATATTCATAGTATGTCATTATAATAGCAACGATTATTTTTGAGTTAAATTGAAGACTTAAGTTTTTTGTGTCTCCTAAATGCATCCGTTCAAGTTGTCACATTTCATAAAGTATACGTAAAGTTAGAAAGAAAATGAAATCCAGAAAAACTATACGAAGTGGAAATGTAAAGGAGGAAGCATGTAGGCTTAAATGGATGATAACCAGGATTGAAACACTGAGAACGATTTTGAGGCATATCAGCAACAGTCCTCAACCATTCGTTTCTGACCTCTAGATATCCGTAGCCATGTGGTCTGCAGCTACTCACATGACTCAAAACAAGAGTTAAAGACTTCATGGTGTCTCTTAACAGTCACCTGTTTTAATCACACATACCTTGTTCACACATTGAATATGTTTTATATTTAAAAAACCACTACTAAACGAATAGCCATTCAAAAATCCAAATTTCTTTGAAGTCCAAAATATTTGGATTGTTTTACCATAAAGAAGAAGCAACTCGCAAAAGAAAACTAAAAGGTACCAGTGATTCTTTTCTCAAGTTGCTATAAAATACTGATTATCACTTCCGACAATAAAAAGTCACAGGTCTTTGTCTTAATCAAACTATACAGATTTGGATAGAGAAAAAAAGACCAAATTTGCAATATGAAATGATATCATTCCATTTCACAGGTTCTCATCAGCTGCAAACTACCTGAAATTACAATGCTTATAAATAGTAACATTTCATACTTCAATGTTTGAAAGTTAATAGTGAAAACATTGTAAGATGAACGCATCCGGAATATAAGTATTACAATTTTTAGTTTAAGTTACCATGATTGAATTGAATTTTTGATTTTCCCGTCGGTTGATTGGACCGAAGTGCTCGGTCTCAGGTTGACATGTCGGCTTCTTGCAGGTACATCCAGCTGACGAGTCCCAAATAGGACGAAATGCGCATCCTGGATTCCACTGCTAGCCACCATCCACCAATCGTATAAGTTACCATGAATTTATATACTATCAAACTATGAAAGAAAAAAAGGGGGGGTGAGAGAAAATAGAAAAATCTAATAAACAGTGTTAGCGTGTACGTCAATAGGGCAACTCAACAAGGTTAAAGTTCATCAAGGTGAAAACTTGCTTAGTAAGCTGAGCTCATTAGTGTGTATGACTAATCAGCGTAATGAAAGTGAGACTGTTACCTAGGGAGTGAGAGATTGACTACACTCTCTTTCTGTGTGCATAAGTTTCGTTTGAGACGTTTGATTGCAATTGCTTCAGCAAATCGTAGTAGATTCACTTACCTTTGTATGTTTAATATTTTTAAGGATTCGGAAATCTCGACAAAATGACCCGTATCCACAAGGTGTCTGGTAATTACACTTTGTAAATATCTGCTTCCTTTTAGGCATAAGTTTCTCGGAATATGCTCTGAAAACCGGATAGAAGCCCTTCTTTCTGCCCTTCCAATGTACTTGCTGCCGCAGGTGCACGTAAATTTATAAATGCAGTTGGAGGTAACATCAGCAGGACACTTATCCGGTTTTGATTGGCTTATAGAGCATGTAGTGCTGTATAGTGTCACCAGCTTGGCTGCAGGGAAGCATCTCTTTATTGCTCCTTTCATCCTCTTTTCAATCTTCTGCGATACTGTTTCTCCTTTGTATGGGAGGCAAATGAACACTTTCTTCTTCTCAACTGTTGGAGACTTCTCTTTCTCATCTCTTTCTTTGCTGTACTTTAGGATAAATGCTTTTGGATACCCATTTCCCTTAAGGCATTTTTCAACAAAGCCTAATTCTCCTTCTACCTTGTTAGGCGAACATAACTTCCTGGCCCTGTCGTAAAGTGTCCCTAGTAATCGTAGCTTATAGCTTTTAGGGCAGAAGCTGTTGTAGTGAAGGTATTGTCCAGTCTAGGTTTCTTTTCTGTAGATGGACTTTTCGACCGTTACATCGTTTCTTCGTTTTACATTTAGGTCCAGGTCTCTCACCCCGCCTTTTTCCTTTCATAGTTTGATAGTATATAAATTCATGGTAACTTAAACTAAAAATTGTAATACTTATATTCCGGATGCGTTCATCTTACAATGTTTTCACTATTAACTTTCAAACATTGAAGTATGAAATGTTACTATTTATAAGCATTGTAATTTCAGGTAGTTTGCAGCTGATGAGAACCTGTGAAATAGAATGATATCACTTTATACTGCAAATCTGGTCTTTCTCTATCGAAATTTATCAAGGAAACAAAATGTACGGAATTTTTAAAAAGATGCTTCCCTATACAAATTTGATTAGTGAGTACTTCTCCTGCTTGTAATGCTTTGCCGTTTAATAACGTGAACTGATACACGTATGTGCAGGGTCCTGTGGTACTTCGTAGGTGTGTTTTATCAGACATTCTTATTGCCTAGTATGCAGTGAATGTTAGGTGGTTGGAGGCAGCTGGTAAGAAGTCTTGGATATAGGCCTGTTGCTTGTTGGCTGACGTCAACAGGGCTTACCTGCAACTTCCCCGTAGTTGATATCAATATCGCTCATTGCTGTAGTCGGAGACGTTACCATTGAGCTACTGTGGCTCATGCAGAATGAATGCAATCATTGATCATTAAAGTAGTAACCAATATCATGTTTCTGGTCTTTAGTGCTGGTGTTGACTGAATTTTATCACTCGTGTTTACCGACTTCCAACTTCAAAACTGGCGATTCCATATGTTGATTAGCAAAACTGAAATAATAGAGAGCACATTGGATCGGGTCCCAGTGGCTCAATGGTCTACGAGCTCGCCTTGTAACCAGAAGGTGCTGGGTTCGAGTCCCGGTGGGTGCGTACTGATGAAGAGTCCCAAACTAGGACGAAACAGCTGTCCAGTACTCCCAGGTTTTCCAGTGGTTCTCTAACTGATGTCAGCTCATGATTAAATCCTCCATGTAATAGAGATTTGTGGCTTAGCTGTATTATTTTGATGTGGTTGAGCTCTTTGCTCTGGGTGGTTTAATTGCAAAACTTTCATTTTTACAGTTCATGTAACTTATCTTGCAGATTGTGTTGATCTTGTCTTATTTTTTGTTGGGTCTTTGGTTTGCATGATACTGAATGAAGTGACTCTGCTGATTTGTGTGAATGGTTCTAGTATTATAACCGTTATTTCAGAAACAATCTTGATATATATTTTAAGATGAATTTTTTAATGATTATGAAGATGGTTTCATGCTGGTAGCTTGATTTGAGTTTAGACACTTTCGATAAAATTGTAAGGGTACCCACTTTCTTTAAAGGTAGTAAATATTTCCCTCCTCCTGAGGAATAAAGTACCACAATGTGTCTTTTCAATCGTAGTTGAGATTTAAGTCAACTTTATTCTTTCCAACTGCAGGTTCTAGTTTAGGTAGGTGGTGATACAAACATATATCATTGTAAACATCTGCACAAAATTATATTGGTTTACGTTGTCACAATTTTATAGAGTCCAGAATACAAGTCAACAAATATGCGACGATAGTAAAGCAAAGATAAATGGGTACAAATGTAGGTGAAATAATTGAACAAATATTGGCGAATGCATAATTTCTGAAAGTTGCCAAATGTCCAGGTCTAACTACACTGGACTTCACACTTTCCTTAGAAGACTTTCAGGAACTATGTGCAATAACCAACGCGAAAAACCAGAACACAGATTGGTGACTCAAGAACCCTTTATTCTTGCACCAATATAGAGCCAACCATTAGGTTATTGTACACGAATTCTATTCGGTCATCTCGAAATACTAATACTACGATTACAAATAATTAAAACAAATTGGCGTCGCGATGGAACTAAATAACCTTGGAAAATTTCCTATAAATGGTTCACCGCGGGAGATTACTGATTACCTTGAATGCTTCGATGCATGGTGCATTTCATAGAACGTTTGGGATGACAAAATTCCAGCACATTTCATCACTGCTATTGGGCTAGATGCATATGGCCTAGTGAAGAATCTGTCGTTTCCAGATAAACCTTTTTCTCTGTCATATTATAAACTCCGTGAACTTCTGATACATCACTTTCATGTAACTACTTTTGAGACGCGAGAGAGGGCTCAATTCAACAAACTGGTTCGTGCTACCAACTAGAAGATTAGAGACTTTATTCTTCAACTCCAAATACAAGCTTCAAAGTGTAACTTTGGAGATCAGCTGCATACTCAACTACGTGATCGTCTAATTGCCGGTATCAATATTCCTAAGTCAGAGAAAGAGTTAATTCAGATTCATTCTTGTACCTTTCAAACTGCTAAAGATTTATGTATTACATATGAAGATGTCAATAATGAATACTTTGAACTTTGAATGGGCCATCATAAGCGGGTTGAAGTGGTCGTTGTACACCTTCTCTCCTGATGAAGACGTGGGTGCAGTCTACCAGTTATGACGGGATGTATAAACAAAGAAAGGGCGGCAACAACGTTTTTTATAAAAAACACATTTATAATATTTAACAACATATTATAAAAGCGCAGCATCTATTGGTTGTTTGGTAGAAAACCAGGCTCTTTGGTTGTTTGGGTCTTAAAAAGTTCTCTGCGAATCATATTCTGCCACGTTAACTTTGCTGTGATTGGTTGTTGACTCAGGCTTGTTCATATTTTCTCACGGCCCATATTAGTGACCTAGACCTTAACGTAGATTAGTGCCAACCAATCGGCTAGCAGCCTGCTCTCACCACACTCGTCCCCCCGTCAAATACGTGCGACTGAAGTCGGCTTGATCTACTTGGTGCAGGCGTCATCGTTGGCTTGTCTCGCTGTATCCATTTCTGGAGCTCGCTGACGTTCACGCGCCTCTCATTGTTCGCCATTGCGACTGTGTCTGCGTAACCCCATCTCGAAGTGACCATATATGGTCCTTCCCACTTTGGAAACTGTTTGCCTGACCCTGTCGAACATTCGTCCATACTTCGGCCGACACCTTCATATGCTGCTTTCACCCGACCTCCCAGCAGCGTCTCAAGTAGCAGCTCCATCGCTGGCAGATCTTGAACGCCACTCAACTGCGCAGAAGCCTTGAAGTCCTGCCCGAAGATCCATATGTCTCCATCAAAAACTGCAGGGTATAGGCTTTTCATTTGTCGGTAGGCAGCGACACCAAATGTAACAACAGAAGACAAGGGCCAGGCAACAGATCGTTTTATTATGAAAATCAACACGTATTTATACATATTTCAGACAACATTATTATAGACAAGCGCAGTCATCTGATTGGTTGTTTAGGTAGACAAACGCAGGCTTCTGATTGGTTGTTTCGGGATTCCTTGACAAATAGAGTTCTCTCTGCGAATCA